AGTTTTACTCCTGCAGTGAGTATGTGATAAACCTCGGTTTGCTACGTACCGAGTGCTTAATATCTTCCAGGGTGGCAGAGAATGAATCGATGAGCTGGTGGGGCAGCTGGGACAGGAAGCCAATGGTGTCCACGTACAGAACGGTCATGTGACTCGGCAGCTGGCCGGCATGGACGGTAACGTCCAGTGTTGCAAAAAGCTGGTTCCTGGGCTGGAGGCCAGCGTCCCCCGTCAGAGCTTTGATCAAAGTCGTTTTTCCTGGACAGATGAAATCAGGAGAAATGTGTCGCTGTTGTGGATGCTTTAACATTTAACACTTTATATGAAAACAATCTGCTTTTTTACTGGTCGTCTCACCACAGTTGGTGTATCCCAACACTGAGACGACGGGGAACTCCCTGTGTTTACGCTGAGATCGCAGGAGGTGCCTCTTTTTCCGAAGTTTTTCCAGCGCCGAGCGGATCTTTATCTCCCGCTCTTTCAACAGCCTCTGCTGGATCTCGTACAGCGTCTCTCCTGAAAGGACCAGAGACTTTATATCATCATTTTCCAGCATTTTCCAGATACAAATATCACAGCCACTGCAGGAGCGCCTAATGCTCACTTCCTATTTCGCAAATAGACTGTATATAAAAGATGGACTTAGCCGCCATGATGTTACAAAGTGGTCGATAAGATTGATCGTAAAGCCAATTGTGTTTGAAGCTGAAGCTCAAACCAGACATGATGCCCCCTGCTGGCCGTTAGAAAGATTGCAAACTATGGGAATAAGACGCATGCCTCAATAATGGCACGAACATAAAACTGTATCAGATCCAAATTGAAGAAAACTGATCATATATTATTAAAATTGTCCTGGCATGGTTTGTGAAGCAGAAGGTAGCTCCATGGTGTAGTGGTTACCACCTTACATGTGATAGGTCCTCAGACTGGGAGCAGATGCACAGCCAGCCTCAGGAGTATAAAATCTGTGCCATCAACCCTTTGAGAAATGACACCTATATGTGGCTGTGAAGGAGACACTGTGTTAATGCATTTGCTGTGGCACTGTCCTGTAGTGCAGCAGTTTTGGGTGGAACCATAAAACTGTCACATACTCTTAATACTAGGGATGGGTATCGTTTAGGTTTTATC